TTCGGCTCAGGTCATGGTCCCAGGGTCCTGGGATCGAGTCCCACATCGGGCTCCCTGCTCCACGGGAAGCCTGCTTCTCCCTCTCCCACTCCCCCTGCTTCTGTTCCTGCTCTCGCTCTCTCTCTCTCTGTCAAATAAATAAATAAAATCTTTAAAAAACAAAAACATATGCTTTTATTTTCTCTTGGGTAGATACTTAGAATACCCAAGGCTGGATCATATGGCCAGTATATATTTAACTTTTTAAAAAACTGTCAAATTATTTTCTAAAGTGATTGTATCATTTTACATGATATGAGAGTTCCAGTTCTTCCACATTCTTGAAAATATTTACTATTTTTTAAAAAGATTTATTTTATTTATTTGAGAGAGAAAGAAAGAGTGAGTGGAGGGGGAGGGTCAGAGGGAGAGAATCTTCAAGCAGACTTCTCACTGAGCAGGGAGCCCAACACCGAGCTTGATCTCATGACCCTGAGATCATGACCTGAGCTGAAACCAAGAGTCGGGCGCTTAACTGACTGAACCACCCAGGCACCCTGAAATTTTTACTATTTTGAATAAACATTCACTGTAAAAAAATTTTTTAGGAAGGTCATACAGGCAAAAAAAAAAAAAAAATTCCAGCCGTTATTCCCATGACTGGGAGATAACACTATTAAATTGCCGTGTTTGTAGATTTCCACAAGTTTACCCTACTAAACAAACAGTGCTCTCAGTTAAAAAAAAGTTTTGGGGCACCTGGGCGGTACAGTCGGTTGAGTGTCTGACTCTTGGTTTTGGCTCAGGTTGTGATCTCAGGGCTGTGAGAATGGAGCCTGGTATCAGTCTCCACCCTCAGCACAGAGTTGGCTTGGGATTCTCTCTCCCTCTTCCAGACCCCCCCCCTTTTGCTCTCTCTCTCTCTCTCAAATAAATAAGTCTTTTAAAAAAAGTTTTATATCTCATTTTCATTCTCACTATTCAAAGCATGTCATAAATGGAAATTTAAGAAAAATACAGTTCTCCAAACACAAAAAACTGAAAAATATATTTTCTCTGTCTTTATTGCATTTTAAAATTACTTTTTAAATTGGTTTTCTAAGTGAATAGGTCAGAATCTATCTATAGTGAATTTTAAGGATAGTATTTCTCTGTGATGTAGTAAACAGAGATTTTAGAGGTAAAAAATATCCCTGTGTCTTCCTATACTCCCAGGGAACTAGAAAACAATTCAACACGAACATTTCAGGTGTTAAGAGCCTTAAATGAGTTTTTTTAAAAACACAAACAAACAAATGAGAGAAGCAAGAATGTCTTTACTCATAACTTTATGCATAACTATTATTCTTATATTTCGAGAGAATTATGGATAGAGCTGGTAGGAAAACTAGGTAAAAAACATCAATAATTATAGTATGCTTGTTAAACATAAAACACTCTGTTAGGAACTGTGTGAGGCTCTCTGTGCATTATCTCATTTCATTAGGTCCGTGGAGAGTATTCTACTTTTTCTAGTTCAGACATGGCTTCCATAATAGGGGTTATTACAAGGTCTAAAAACATGTAAGAGAAATATATATTTGTTGTTTCCTTGGGGAATCACAACCCAACTCCTTTTAACTGAAAACCATGGTGATTTCCAAGATCTCTGTCCTCCTGCCCCATGGTTCACTTCCTCTCCTCACTGTTCCACTGAGAGACTGGTGGACTCAGCTGCCATGTGATAGCATCTTTTTTAAGGTATCTCTGGAGTATAGGTTTTCTTAAGTGGTCTAACATGGTTATGCTCTTACAGTCAGTAGGTTTGACTTCTTTGGCTGGGCCCATGGCTGAAGCAATCCAAATTCTCACTAAAATTTCAGTGCCCTTATCTTCGAAGTGTCTAAAGCATGAATGCAATGGCATCAGGAGAGTTTGAATCCTAGTCTCAGCTTTTGTTTTCCCTTATCCATAAAAATTAATGGGGTAATTCCTATTTCCTACTGTTTATTCCTATATTTACTGGTTTGTTCAATCAATCATTCATTCATTCCATTTACCGAATGCCTCCTATGTGCCAAACCATTCTAATGTGGTAATTCACAGGGAATGATGTACCTAAAGAGGTCTGTAAACTCTAAGGCTCTAGGCAGTTACTGTTTTGCTATCAGTGGTTTTGTTTTTCCCACAAATCAACAAAACGAAGAAAATTAGTTAAACAAAAGCAGGAAGATACAGAGAAGAATTTCTTGGCACAGGGCTTTATTTACAAAAAGAAACTTTTGCCTGAAGGAATTCAGGAGGCAAGAAGGTCCTTGTCCATTCTGTACGGTTCTCTGAGCCGTCCTCAGGTGGCCTCGAGGTTCCTGGACTATTTTTCTTGCCCAAAGAATCCAGAAACCCTACATTATATTCCTGGGTCGTAGTTACTAATCAAAGTTCTTACTCTGCCCCGCACCATTCATCCTTTGTCCACTCAATCTTTGTGGGCTTGAGTTTTCTCGAATGAAAACCACAGGTCCTAAGGTCCCACCTGGCTGGGACATGGTAAGCAAGTTACTCTGAGGCTGGATGGTTCCTAAAGAGAGAGCGCTGGACCAAGGTAGGTCCAGCCCAAGTTCTACGGTAGGAGGCCCTCTCTCCAGGCTCTGGCGCGCACCCAAGTCGGAGCGCGCGGGTCTAGGGACAGCGAAACCACTCGGTCCAACCCATGCCTTCCTAAGCATCACGGGACCTTACAGGAAAATGAAACTGAAACCGGGAAAGTCCCTCTTTCTAACCTGGCCAGTCCTCAAGCGCTAGGAGACGAGTGACGGCCCCTGCCAGAAGGGTTCTGATTGGCGGGGCGCGCATGGAATATAAGTAGAGGCGCTGGGCGGACAGCCAGTCCTAGTGTCGCGCTGCTCCTGTTTGGGTGGTGATGGCGCCTCTCCTGACCTTCGTCCTCGTCGGGCTGCTCTCTCTCTCCGGCCTGCATGCCGTCCAGTGTGAGTGTCCGCTCTTGCCCTAGCCCCTCTCCTGTGCCCCAATCTTTGTGGCATTCTCCGCATTAACTCTGTAACTCACCCACCCCTCCTCCTCCCTAGTTCTTCTCCCCGGCCTGGGGCTAGCAGCGGGCTTAGTCTGCGGGTGGGGAAGCGGTGGGTGGCCGGGGAGTGGGGAGCTGGGAGGGTGTGCGAGCCCAGGACGCAAGCCTCTTTTTTCTTCTTGGGAGAGGGGGACGCGGGAGGCCTCCGGCATGTGCGTGCCGGGTGGGTCAGGACGAAGTTTCGGGATGATGACAGACTTCGGAACGACAGAGGTTTCTTTTCCGCGGAACCTCTAGCTACCCGGGTGCCGCTGTCTGCCTGGGAGGGCGGGAAGGCGGGTCGCAAAAGCGGGGAGGCGAGGGCTGTGAAAGGGTGGGGACATCGGTCTGGGCTTTGCGGGAGGCACCGCGCGCGTACATCAGTCCGCTGCAACTGCTCTTCTCGGATCCCGGGGGCTTCGGGCTTACTTCGCAACGCCCGGCTGGTTGCCCGCCCCACGAATATGCGGGGAAACCGCGGGGGAGGAATTCACACGTGGAGTTTGTAGAATGTTTGGAGGGGTTACAAAGCGCTTTGACATCATTAATTCACTTGTTACCGTTCCTTGTCGCTTTTAATAATTGTTAAGAGCTAGTTGTTATTGATAAGGAGCGTGCTGGGGACGTTGTGTGCTTTATGCCATTTGGTTCCGAGATGAGCCTACGATGTAAATGCAATGGTTAATATCATCAGCATTTCATACATAAGGAAACTGAGACACCAAGAGTTTAAGTAACTTCATCACCAACAGGGGGGAGAAATGGCAGACAATCTAGCCGGAGCAGAGCTTTTTGTGCGGGTCTGCGCCCTTTGGCTGCAAACTCTGCGGTTTTTCAGTACCTCCTCGTCAGCTTCTGGTGAGATTCTTGCCAGCAAGCTGGAGAGCCTGGGGCCCTGTTGCCTTTTCTTCACAGAGGGCTTCCTCTTTGGCTCTTTGCCTGGTTCTTTCCAAGATGAACTAAGCTTCTACTTTCTGTTTTGAAAACGCGAAGGTTTACCAGTCAGGGAGATTGTAAAACCAGTGATAAGGGTAATCAACATGGTTACCCAGGTCGTCTGTCAGGGACACTCTACATCCTGAGCACGTTCTAAATATCCCGCAATATACCAGAACCCTCATATTTTCCCCTCACAAAAGCTTCTGTGAAGCGGGGGTTTTGATCATGAAAAAAAGTATTTAATTTATAATCTATTCACAAAATAAAGCACAAATACTGTTATTGATATTTGCTGGCGACCATAGAAAACATTTTAAAAATAACAAGCTGACATTAAAAGAAAAATCTTAATTTGAAAATTTCCGAAGTAATACATGCCATGAATAGATAATTTCTAGAAGATACTCCGGAGGGGCGCCTGGGTGGTTCCTTCGGTTAAGCATCTGCCTTCGACTCGGGTCATGATTCCGGGGTCCTGGAATTGAGCTCCACCTAGGGCTCTCTGCTCAGCAGGGAGTGAGCTTCTCCCTCTATGCTCTCTCTCTCTCTTTCTCAAATAAATAAATAGAAATCTTAAAAAAAAAAAAAAAAGATACTCAAGAAATGGGTAATGATGATTTGCCTCTGGGGGTCTATTTTTTGCTCTGTCCCCTGTGTGGGTTTTGTTTCACTGTGGACATAAATTGATGTTTTCCTTAAGCTTCAGAAGCTCAACTAACTGTCCCAAAGTCACAGAACCAGTGAGTGGCTGAGTCCAGATTCAGACCCAGGCCTTGTCTGATACTTGTCCACCTCTTAGAAAAGGTTATTGTGATGTTCTTGCAGAACCCTGCCTGGCTTCCTCAAAGAGAGAATTCTAGGCCTGATGAACCTGTGCTCTGACTCTTACGGCATTTATTATGTTCTAATTATTAGAAGTTCCGATACAAAGAGCTTTCTGATTTGTCTTCATTTTTAACTTTAAGAAAAAAATCAGGGCTTCATTGGGATCCCTAGGCTAGCTCCTGGTGGGGCTGGTGACCTTTCCTTTGATGACAGGGTGTTTCTAGACAGATGAACCTGGTCAGAGTAGCCTAGTACTCCTCCACCCCACCACCTCGTGGACACGGAGGAGCTGCCCTTTAGTAAACAGATACACCGCATGTATGTGTATTTAAAAGTGAATTATACACATATATTAGTGTCAATCTGTACATTTAGTGGCAGTAACAGTTCTCTTCATTGGATGAAAAATATGGAATGGAGTTTATAATAGTTTCTTTCCATATCTACAGGGATGGTCTAGTTATGCATCCTATTTTGGAAACTACTGTTCTATAGCAGCAACATATTCCCAACGTGGCAGTTAGAGCAATCACTTGAGGGTGCTAATTAAAAATGCAAATACCAGTCTTGCACACATTACCCCACTTGGTCACAGTGGAGAGTATGTTCTTTCTCATTTGCCACAGTCCTCACCCTGCCCTATTGTTCTTACCCAGCCCAATTCACTCATTTATGGTATTTCTGGCTTCTGTACGCATTTAAGTTTGGTTTGAGGCAATAATAATAACAGTATCTACCATTTCCAGAGCAATTGCTGTGTGCCAGGCATTATACTAGACGCTTAATACATATTGAGAAGTCAGATGGGTGTGGATCTAGGCAGGAGCAGGAACCAAAAAGGAAAGGAATAAACATTAAAAAAAAAAAAAAAAGATGGGCTGAAACAAGGTACAATAACATAAGTTTTTTGATGTGGTTGTTATGAAGAGTGTGTGAAGTGAGAAATGAAGTTTGAAAAGTAGGTTGGGGCCAAATCATGAGGACTCTTGAGAGATGTGTGAAGGAATTATATGGGTGCTAATAAGCCATCAAAAGTTCTTGAGAGTCTCCACTGAAAGGTTCTTAAGGATTTGGCACAAATTCCAGTGACAGAAGATGATAATACTAGAAATCTGCTAGAAAAAAACCAAAAAGCCACGAGTAGAGGAATTATGTGGAAAAGATACTAAGTCGTGGTTTTATCCCTCAAAATGGATGTAGCCTTTTGGAAAAGTGGAAGTTCATTTGGCCAGAGTAGAAGTGGAATTGGGAGAAATCAGTCACCAAATTTAAACATTTGTTGCCTGATATAGCTTTAGACCAAGGTAGTCCCAAGTGAAATACTCTGCAATTTTCATTTGTCTTTCCCTTATGTCTCTCAGATACTCCAAAAATTCAGGTTTACTCACGTCACCCAGCAGAGAATGGAAAGCCAAATTTCCTGAACTGCTACGTGTCAGGGTTCCACCCACCAGAAATTGAAATTGAATTGCTGAAGAATGGAGAGAAGATGAAGGCAGAACAGTCAGACCTGTCTTTCAGCAAGGACTGGACTTTCTATCTTCTGGTCCACACTGAATTCACTCCCAATGGACAGGATGAATTTAGCTGCCGTGTGAAGCATGTTACTCTCAGTGAGCCCCAGATCGTTAAGTGGGGTAAGTTTTTAAGTTCTTTCCTTAGCTACTGACAGTTGTATCTGAGTATAGGCATAGCTTAAAGCTGCTTTGATATAAAAAAAAAAAATCTGCATACTGGGATTGACAGGGAACATTATTAAAGCTCTGGTAAGTGGCACCTTCTGAGACACCTCTGCACAGCCTGAGCCCCGAAACAGTAGTTTCCCTATAGCAGAAACGGAGCGGCAGCAGCCCACACCTGCACAAATGCACATGAGCTCCCCGGGTTTCCTACCTACTGGCCTCCTTGGGCTTTCCTGACAGCCTCATGGATTAGAACCATCAAAGGTCTCAGGGAGGCACAGGCCTTTGTCTGTAGGCCCTGCTCTCCTAGTGCCCTATCCAGTACTCCCTGGCTGGGTTGGGATCTGAGGCTAGTAGGCAAGATTGGGCCCTACTGGGTATTCAGGATTAGGGACAACAAATGTTTTAGACATTTGTTAGTAGTATTTTAAAAGTAAAGCTTACTCTCTTTCTCCGTGTTCTTTTTCACAGAGCGAGACAACTAACCAACATCATGGAGGTAGGTTTCTAACCTTAAGAAAATAACTTTTCTTGTTTTGCTGTCCTGGGAACTATTTACAGACAACTCTGTAGGATAACCCTCATTATAGGGAAGACATTAACCAGGGTAGCATTTCAGCAGGTAAGAAGGAATCCTACAGGGAACGTGGAGTGGCTTGAGAAAGGCGTGTGCCCCGGTCTAAAGCTGCCAGTCTCCCTAGCCCTCTAAAAAAGTCAGAGGAGCTGTTGGAGTACTCTACCAGGATAGAGGCAGCTAGTTACCCACACTACCTGTGAGGATTTGATCTTTCTTCTTCCATTTCTGTGGTGGGCATCCCTGGGCCTTCAGACATGAACTGTTCTCTTCCTTTGCATAGCAGTTGCTTTATTATTCAGCAGTGTGAAAGAGGGAGGAATTGGACTTCTTTGCACTGTTGGAGTCCAGAGGTAGAAAATCCAGCTTTTCTGTGAAATTCATCTCCACAGGGTACCATGCTACTGAAAACCTATTCAAATTTCCTGTTACATCCTAGCACAGGGAAATTCGTTTAAGAGAGCCTCAGAGAGTTTGGGTGACCTGCCCGGAGTCACACAGTTACTAAATGGGAGAGCTGGGATCTGAACTCTAATACCAGCCTTCTTTCCTGTAAGGTTGTGGGAGAACCAGTGGGATAAATTAATGGGCTATGCTCTTTGTAATGGGTTTGGAAAACCGTCTGCAGCTATTTCTTTTACAACACAGCAAAAGTTGGACAAATTTGGTGGTGTGATCTATAATCTAAATAAAATAAATGTATTTGCTAACAAATCTATTTTCTTTTTTCCAGGTTTGAAGACGGTGCATTTAGATTGAACAAATACTATGTTCTTTTTAATCCTGATATGCTTTTATGCTTTTTGAATACAAATCATAAAGTTATATTGATGATGATACAAATACAATCTACATGCTAATTCTACATTGGTCATTGTGTCGCTATATTTGACCTGTCTGGGCAGGTAGCTGTAGTTGTGGGGCTGGAAGCTTAGAGGTGGGGAGGGGAGAATTCTCTTGTTCACCATCAATATCTTGGTCAGATCTGAACTGTTCAGTCTATTCACACAAAACTGGATAAGAAGATAGTTATGCATGTTTAGAGTTAATTTCCAATTTGCATACTTTGTTTAGAATTTGGGGGAAATTTTTGAAATTTGAAATTTTGAAATTTGAAAATTGAAAGATAATTGTCAAATTATTGGAAATTTGTTATAGTGGGTAAGACACTGTCATATAAAATTCATATTCATCTCTTACATCAGACACATTGTTGCACATAATTTGACTTATGTTAATTGTGTTTCAATAAAAACAATGGTAAAACTTGATGTGTTCAGTTTTCTTATATATCAGTCCCTCTCTTCCGTTTTTTTTTTTTTTTTTGAAGGTTTTATTTATTAGAGAGAGAGAACACAAGCAGAGGGAGGGGCAGAGCTGAGCAGGGAGCCCACTTCAGGGCTCCATCCCAGGACCATGGGATCATAACCTGAGCTGAAGGCAGGTACTTAACTTACTGAGCCACCCAGGTGCCCCCCCTCCTTTGTTTTCGAACAGGAAAACAGTTTTCAAGTGTCACTTGGAAAAGAGTGTAAACCCCTGTTATATAGGGCTTGACTCACGGTGGAAGGGGCCTCAGCAATCCTCATTTTACAGATGAGGAACAAGATCCCAGGGAAATTAAATGACTTAGGGTGACACAGTGATCTGCTGGGAGACCATGTCTGTTTTTTATTTTATTTTTTTTAAGATTTTATTTATTTATTTGAGAGAGAGAATGAGAGCACGAGAGGGAAGAGGGCAGAGGGAGAAGCAGACCCCCTGCTGAGCAGGGAGCCCGATGCGGGACTCGATCCCAGGACTCCAGGATCATGACCTGAGCCGAAGGCAGTCGCTTAACCAACTGAGCCACCCAGGCGCCCCTACCATGTCTGTTTTTTAGCCAGTGTTCTGTTCCTTGGGCCAAGACACAAGGAATGTGCAGACTCTAAGAGGAATCAAAAGTACCTGAGGGTTTCATATTTTAGCAAACAATAGATAAACTTTGAATGAAAAATACTAGATTTTTCAGTTTCAAAATATAGTTCATACACGCAGCATTGTGCATTTGTTTGACCAAGAATTTGTTAGTGCTAAGTACTGACAAGATGAATAAAACACAAAACTGCTCTCAAATTGCTTCAGTTTAGTGGAGGGGCAGACATGTGATCAAACAATTGAAAAACATCCTGATAAAGAGTATAATGTAGGTATGCCCAAAGAACTAGGTGATAGGAAAATGTGTTCAGGGAACAACAAGAAACTTTAGGTGTTAGGGAAGCCATTTGCTTGAGTTGAGACTTGGTGATAGTGGTTCTCCTGAATGGTGAGTGGAATCTGGGGTTTCCAGGCAGGGGGTGCAAATTATGGGAAGTATGAAGGTGTGACAGGTGTGGGTAATTCCAAACATCAGAGCAAGGGTATTTGAGGGAATGCTTGCAGGAACTCAGCTGAGCAGACTGAGCAGTGACTTACTTAGACTGGTCACTCTCCATCCTAAATGCACATTAGAATGACCTGTGGAACTTGTTAAAAACTACTAGCTCTGGGCGCCTGGGTGGCTCAGATGGTTAAGCGTCTGCCTTCGGCTCAGGTCATGATCCCAGGGTCCCGGGGTCGAGTCCCGCATCGGGCTCCCAGCTCGGCGGGGAGCCTGCTTCTCCCTCTGCCTCTGCCTCTCTCTCTCTGACTCTCATGAATAAATAAATAAAACATTTAAAAACAAAAAACAAAAAACTACTAGCTCTAAGAAATAAAGTCTATTAAAAACAAAAACAGGGGCATTTGGGTGGATCAGTAGGTTAAGCATCTGCCTTTGGCTCAGGTCACTATCCCAGGGTCCTGAGATCCAGCCCCACATCAGGCTTCTCCAGTTCCCTTGCTGTAATTTTGTCCTGTTCTTTCACTTGTGACATATTCATGTCTCATTTTGTCTAACTCTCTGTGTCTGTTTCTGTTTGGTAGGAAAGTCTCTTGCTCTTGAAAGTAGTGGGCAGGATGTGCACTTTTAACAAGGTGCTGCCAATCCTTTTCCACAGGGGATGAGCAGCTGCCTCGGAGACCAGGGTCAGAGGGTGGTGCGCCACAAAGCACATGCAGGCAGGGGCTGCGGAGCCCAGAAGTTGTGTGTGCTCGTCCTTTCCCGCAGGGGATGCACAGCTGTCACCAAGATGGAGCCAGCTGGGGCAGGCAGTTTTAACAAGGTGCGCACATCCTTCGTGGGATGTGACTGCCATGGCACTGCCAGGACTGAGGCTCTGCAAAGTGTGCAGTCCAGATATGCAGCGTTGGCAAGGTTTGCACCAGTCCTCTGGGGGAAGGGACCTGCAACGCTGGTCCAGCTGGAGGGGGCAGCTGTGATGTAAGCAGTTAGGTAGTGAATGCCCATGCTGTGCTGGTTTCTGCAGGTGGCTCTGTGTTTATGCTGGGGGGAGGGGGATGGAAATGACATCTGCCAGCTCCTTTGTTCCTGGAGAAGTCCTTCACTGAACTCAGATTAGTGAATAATTCTCCCTCCCATATGCCCCAGGCGTTTTTCCAATTGCTGCTTCTCAGCCAAATCTCCGTAGGCTGTTTGTTGTGGGGTCTCTTTAAGGGCAGGGACTCAGTTTCCTATCACTCTCCCAGCTCTCCTAGATCTGAGACTGCTGATTTGTAAAGTTCCAGGCTTTAAGTGCTGTGGTTGCAAGAACTTAGGAAATTCAGCCCTGCCCCTCTGGTTTTCAAAGCAAAATGTTTTGGGGATTCCTCTTCCCAGTGCAGGCTCCCTGGTTTGATAGTCTGTTTCTTTTTCCTCATCACACCCTCAGCTCCCTTCCTACCACAACCAGACCCATGCTTGAGATAGCTCCCTATCTCATCTCTGCCCTTCCTACCCTCTACAATGTGGCCTCTCCTCTACATGTAGTTGTAGTGTGTGTTTTGCCAGTCTCCGGGTCGTTTTTCCCAGTTATTTACACTGATGTGCGTGTTATCTATAGTTGTGTCTGTGGGATGAGGTGAGCTTAGGGTCCTCCTACTTGGCCATCTTCCCTTGAAGTCCAGAACAATCAAAAGTAGACTTTTTTTTTTAAGATTTATTTATTTATGAGAGAGAGAGAGCAAGCACATGAGCATGGAGTAGAGGGGCAGAGGGAGAGGGAGAGAAAGTCTTAAGGAGAGTCTGTGCTGAGCACCGAGCCCGATCCAGGGCTCCATCTCATAACCCTGAGATCACGACCTGAGCCAAAACCAAGAATCGGTCACTCAACTGATTATGCCACACAGGCGCCCCTTGAAAGTAGACTTTTAAAAATATATATTATTCTACATACTTATATATGATTTGAATTTTTACATCTTTTACTGAGTATAGTTCATTATTTTAAACAATAAGGTGTTTATATAGGCAGAAAGGAAAAAAAAATCTTGTTAGTCTCACCAGCCAGAGATGATCACTTATCAGTGTTCAATTTGGCATGGTTAGCTTTTCAAGAGATTTTCATTTTTTGTTTTATTTGTATTTTATTTTAAATTTTTAAAAGATTTTACTTTTAAATAATCTCTATACCCAACATGGGGCTCCAACCCACAACCCTGAGATCAAGAGTGTCATGCTCCACGACTGAGCCAGCCAGGCACTCCTGTTTTGTTTTGTTTGTTTGTCTGTTATTTATTTTAAAGATTTAATTTATTTATTTGACAGAGAGCATGAAAGAGTGCACAAGCAGGGGGAGCTGCAGGCAGAGGGAGAGGGAGAAGCAGGCTCCCTGGGACACAGGGCTCCCTCCCAAGACCCCAGGATCATGACCTGAGCTGAAGGCAGCTGCTTAACCCACTGAGCCACCCAGGTGCCCCTGTTTTATTTTTTTTAAAGGGTCATTGTTGAAACTGAAGATGACACAAATACATGGAAAGACAGTCTATGTTCATGGATTGGGAAAACAAATATTGTTACGATGTCCACACTATCTAAAGCAATTTACAAATGTAATGCAATTCTCCATTAAATACCAACAGCATTTTTCATAGAACTAGAACAATTAGTCCTAAAATTTGTATGGAGCCACAAAAGACTCTGAAAAGCCAAAGCAACCTTGAGAAAGAAGAATAAAATCACAGTCCCAGATTTCAAGATATACTACAAAGCTATAGTAATCAAAATAGTGTGGAACTGGCACAAAGATAGGAACATATTTCAATGGAATTGAAGAGAGCCCAGAAATAAACCCATGATTATATGGTCAATTAATTTACAACAAAGAAGGCAAGAATATGCAATGGGAAAAAGACAGTTTCTTTAACAAACAGTGTTGGGAAAACTGGACAGCTACATGAAAAGAATGCAACCGGACCACTTTCTGACACCATACACAAAAATAAACTCAAAATGAATAAGGACCTAAATGTGAGATCTGAAACCATAAAAATCCTAGAAGAGAGGACAGGCAGTAATTTCCCTGACATCAGCTATAACATCTTTCTAGCTACCTCTCCTGAGGCAAGGGAAACAAAAGCAAAAATAAACATTGGGACTACATCAAAATAAAAACCTCTGCACAGCAAAGGAAACAACCAACAAAACTAAAAGAAAACCTACTGAATGGGAGAAGATATTTGCGAATCACATATACAATAAAGGTTTAGATCCAAAATATGTAAAGAACTATAAAACTCAACACACACAAAAAAACAAATAATCCAATTAAAAATGGGCAGAAGACATGAACAGACATTTCTCCAAAGAAGACATACAGATGGCCAACAGACACATGAAAAGATGTTCAACATCACTCATCATCAAGGAAATGCAAATCAAAACCACAATGAGATACTACCTTACACCCGACAGAATGGCTAAAATAAAAAACATAAGAAACAGTGGTGTTGGAGAGGATGTGGAGAAAAAGGAATACTTGTTCATTTTTGGTGGGAATGCAAACTGATGCAGCCCCTGTGGCAAACAGTATGGAGTTAAAAATTGAATTATCATATGATGCAGTAATTCCACTACTGGGTATTTACAAAGAATACAAAAACACTAATTCGGAGGAATACATGCATCCCAAGTATTCATAATGGATGGATAAAGAAGATGTGAGATATATATATATACACATATATATA